TACCACCAGGTCTGGCTTCAATTGTACCTTATGATCTCCCTCTGGCCTGCTTTTTATATGCCTTCCCTTTCCTGGATGATAGTTGATTTCTACCTCTAGTGCTATTCCAAGACACCTTCACAAGGAAATAAGAGCTCCCATTTGCCTTAATCCTGTTGTTCGAGAATTCTCATGTCTTTTTCCTCCTTGGCTTCAGATGAACCTTTTTTCTTCGATCAGTGGAGAGAGAAATTGTATTTCTTGGGGCCATCTTGGTCTTAGTTTTGTCTGTACATCCTTGTCCTCCCGCACCTTTGATGCTTTTTGAAGAAATAAGTGTCATCTTAGGTTTACCCCCATCTTCTCATTTCCCACCAAGTTTAGGATTACGAATGTAGGAAGAGTTTTAAAGGGGGTTGATGGAGTAGTCTTGCACACTCGGCCTTTGTCTTGGCTTTATGTTTCTTTATGGGGTCTCAGTGAAGAAAATGAATATCTAATCTTAACACAAAACAGTGAGAAGCCTGTGAGTCAGTCTTCTAGGATTATACAGCCATTGTATTTTTTAAATTTTTTTTTTTTGTCGGTCGTGGGGCTTGAACTCTGGGCCTGGGCGCTGTCCTTCAGCTCTTCAGCTCAAGGCGAGCGCTCTACCACTTGAGCTACAGCGCCACTTCCGGTTTTCTGGTGGTTTATTGGAGATAGGAGTCTCACGGTCTCTCCTGCCCGGGCTGGCTTTGAACCGCGATCCTCAGATCTCAGCCTCCTGAGTAGCTAGGATTACAGGCGTGAGCCACCAGCGCCTGGCTATTTTTTAAATTTTTATTTTCTTGTAAAGATGCTGTACAGAAGAGTTACAGTTATATCAGTAAGGTAATGAGTACATTTCTTGTCCAGCATTGTTACCCCTCCTTTGTTTTTCTCCTACTATCCCTTGCCTCCCTGACCTCCCCCATTCCTTTCCACCCCCCAAGCCATTGTATTTTACAGCATTGTCTGCCCACATTTCCCTCTTCAATTTCCATCCAACTGAGTTTCAACTCATGGGGCTTGAACACAGGGACTGGCTGCTGTTCCTGAACTCTTTGAATTGTAATCCTCTGATCTCAGTCTCCTGAGTAGAGAGGATGACAGTAGAGAGGATTACCTAGACAGGAAAGTTCATGACATTCAGATCTCCAAATAAGCACAAAAAAAGAAGCCAGAAGTAGAGGTGTGACTCAGAGACCCTCCGTTCAAAGCTGTAAGACCAGTGCACACACAAAAAAAGATGGGGGAAAAAGACTTTGGGTTGGAGACACTAGTAATTTACATGTGTGTGCTGGCACTGGGCTTGGACTCAGAGCTTCATGCTCTTGCTTAGCTTTTTTGCTCAAGGCTGGCACCCAGCTACTTGAGCCACACCTCCACTTCTGGCTTTTAGTTGGTTAACTGGAGATAATAATCTTTTGGATTTGTCTTCCCAGGCTAGCTTCAAACTGGGATTCTCAAATCTCAGCCACCTGGGGCTGGGAAGTTGGCTCAGTGGTAGAGCGCTTGCCTTGCATGCATGAGGCCCTGGGTTCGATTCCTCAGCACCACATAAGCAAAAAGAAAAAAGCCGGAAGTGGTGCTGTGGCTCAAGTGGTGGAGCGCTAGTCTTGAGCTGAAGAGCTGAGGGACAGCGCCCAGGCCCAGAGTTTAGGCCCCATGACCGGACCTCCCCCCCACCCCCACCCCCCCAAAAAAAATCAAATCTCAGCCACCTGAATAGCTAGAATTATAGGTGTGAGCCAGCAGCACCTGACCATTGATAATTTATTCCCAAAATCCAGAATTTCTTATAAAAACTGTTATCACATTTTCATACTGGAAATGGCCTGTTCTGAATGTTTGAATATTGTTTCATATTGTCTCCTACTGGGTGCACTGCCCGTGTAAAATGCCCTTGGAAATCCCCATTAACAGCAACAATACTGATTTTTAAAAGAAATCAGGGAAATGAGAAAGGAAATGAGGGAGGAAGGAAATGAGGGGAAATGAGGGAGGAAGGAAAGAACATATACTCCTGAATCCACTTCAGACACCCTGATTCTCAATGTCTAGGCCTCCTCTTACTGAGGCTCCTCTTCCTGAGCCTGTGGCTCTGGAACATTGTGCAGGACTGGATTTTGTCTGTGGTTACCAGGTACTTCTGTGAAGATCAGCAGGTTAAACCCTTTGTGTCTTCAGCATTATACAATTGGGAATCACACTTGTGCCCATGATTTCTTCCAAGAGTAACGTGTTCCACATGAGAACTGGTTGCCTTCACAGCTGGAACTCTTTTTGGGGGTGACTTTTAACTTATTTATTTTTCCACAGATGAAAAGCAAACTTTGAGAGCTCCTGAATAGCACTGATGACTCAAAAGAGATTTTTACCGTGACTTTTATGGGATGCATCACTGTGAATGTCCTCCACCCTTGATGGTCCTCTAATGGGGGAGGAGACTTACTGCCCCACAGATAAGACCAATTGAGACTTTATGAGAGAGACAATTTTCTGAAGTCACTTAGAGCTGATTTTATGACAGTGCTATTTGTACATCCTCAGGCTTGCTATTTAGGGAGAATTGTTCCGTTTTGATAAAATTGCTCTGAACATGAGCAATTTCCTCCCATTATGAAGTGGCTCATTTTCAGCTGCTCTCTGTCACATTCTTCTTCATACACGGCCCCACCCCCTTTCCCTAAAAGCCAGAGACAGGAGAGTATGCACAGATAGGCAGTACATTTTCTAAATGTCATCAGAATTAGGCTATAGAGAGCAAAGGGCTCACGTTAGCTCAGTGTGGGCTGCCCCAGTACCAGGCCACTGTATCTGCTCAACTGAGACAGCTCAGCATCACTCCTGCTTGGCTTAAGAGGCCCAGATTGGAACATGAAGACCACCACCAGTTTCTCAACACTTCATTGACCAATCCCATTTGTTTAAATCAATATGACTACATTTTGTCTTAATGTATAGTTCCTGGGGACAGGTATTTTTTTTGTTGGTGGTGGTGGTGGTGGTAGTCATGGGGTTTTGAACTCAGGGCCTGGAAGCTGTCCCTGAGAGCTTTTTTGCTCAAGACTAGCACTCTATCACTTTGGGCCACAGCTCCACTTCTGCCGTTCTGGTGATAAGAGTCTCACAGACTTTCCTGACCCATCTGGCTTTGAATAGCCATCCTTAGAACTCAGCCTCCTAAGTAGCTAGGATTACAAGTGTGAGCCATGGTCACTCAGCAAACAAGCATCATTTTAATGGAGAACTTCTGACATCATCCTCAAGAACCTTTTCCTTCTAGAAAAAAGGGATTACTACCTTGGCTCAAGCCATTCTTCTATCCTTAGGAGGAAGAGGTGATCAGAAGGCAGAGCCTGCCATGGACTGACACACCTTACGTACATTCCACTCCCGTTGAGGACCTTGGGTGGGAAGATAGCTAACATTATGATTGTGGTTACAGAGCACTTTGCTGTTTTTTGAAGCTTTAAGCCTGACACCTCAGGAAGCATCTGGAGAGTAGGTTCTCAAGAGGCTGGAGCAGGCCATCAAAAGTAAAGAGCCAGCCAGGTGTTGGTGGTTCACGCCTGTAATTCTAGCTACTCAGGAGGCTGAGAACTGAGGATCGAGGTTCAAAGCCAGCCCAGACAGAAAAGTCCATGAGACTCTTCTCTCCAATAAACCACTTAGAAAACTGGAAGTGGGGGCTGGGAAGGTGGCTCAGTGGTAGAGCGCTTGCCTTGCATGCATGAGGCCCTGGGTTCAATTCCTCAGTACCACATAAGCAAAAAGAAAAAAGCCAGAAGTGGCGCTGTGGCTCAAGTGGTAGAGTGCTAGCCTTGAGCTGAAGAGCTAAGGGACAGTGCCCAGACCCAGAGTTCAGGCCCCACGACTGGACCCCCCCCCCCCAAAAAAAGAAAGAAAACTGGAAGTGGTGCTGTGGCTCAAGTGGTAGAGTGTTTGCCTTGAGCTGATGAGCTGAGGGACAGTGCCCAGACCTAGAGTTTAAACCCCAGGACCACCAATAACAACAACAAAAAAGTAAAGAGCCATTGGTCACTGGTGGCTCATGCCTATAATCCTAAACTATGCAGGAGGTGTAGGATCTGAAGATGGCACTGTTCGAAGCCAGCATAGGCAGGAAAGTCTGTGAAATTCTTTTTTTTTTTTTTTTTGGGGTCCGGTCGTGGGGCCTGAACTCTCCCTCAGCTCTTCAGCTCAAGGCTAGCGCTCTACCACTTGAGCCACAGCACCACTTCTGGCTTTTTACTTTTTGCTTATGTGGTGCTGAGGAATCGAACCCAGGGCCTCAGGCATGCAAGGCAAGCGCTCTACCACTGAACCACCTTCCCAGCCCCAGAGAGTGAAATTCCTATCTCCAGTTAACCACCAGAAACCAAGAAGTGGAGATGTGAGTCAAGTGGTAGAGCACCCAAAATAAGTTCAAGGACAGAGCCCAGGCCCAGAAGTCAAGCCCAAGGACCAAGACAAAAAAAACTCAAGCCAAAAATACCAAAAACAAACAAACAAAACAACCCCCCCACCCTCAAACAAACAAAACGATACTCAAGAGTCCCAAGGAGGAGCTAAATGGTGATACTCTACAGCAACAGTTAATCCCACCCAACTTTCAACTCAGACTTTAGGAAACTTCAGGCTCTTTTCATATCCATTCTTTCATTCATTCTTTCGGAACTCTGATCAGTGAAACTGAGTCACTCATAAACGTGACTGAATGTGAACATGGCCCAGCATTAGAACTTGTTCTGAGAGCTGTCTTGGATTTTTGTCACCACGATGGTCAGCAGTCAGGCATAGGGCCTAACAATTTTATATAATATAGTGGAGAAAGCAATGCGATTCGGCAATGGGCTAAAGGTTTAAGGACTTCGCTAAGTCAAGCATCTAGTAAGCAAAGTTTTCTTGTGGACAGCCTGGAGGAAATCATTGTAATATGCAAACCGGCCTCCAGGGGGAGTAAACTGCAGGAAAACCTCCAGGCGATAGAGCTGAGTTCCTAGCGAGGTCGTTTCACCACTTCCGGTCTCCTGCCTAAAACCGCGCCTGCGCGGGACGGCCCTTCCTCTCTGGGCCTGGACCTGAGTTACGGCAATATGGTGAGCGTTGGTTTTTCTGTGACATAAATCTCTATCCATCCGCATCCGTCCTCTCGGTGTTTTCGTCTACACCGTCCTCCATCTATCTGTGTTGTCTTGCATTCCACCCCGGCGTCCGTGTCCTCTTCGCGTTTGTAGGCTTCATTCCAGGGACGGGGGCGGCTTGGTGGGGCCTAGCTCATCCGAACCGGCTTGTGTCAGGGCATCGGGAGGCTTGGGACACCGGTATTGCTGCACGTGGGGAAAATGAGGCCCCACCGGAGGTGAGGGGGAGATGCAAGGGCCGACTCCATGTTGTTACTCCCATTCCTCCGTATAAACAGGCCAAACGCACCAAGAAGGTCGGCATCGTCGGTAAATACGGCACCCGCTATGGTGCCTCACTCCGGAAGATGGTGAAAAAAATTGAAATCAGCCAGCACGCCAAGTACACCTGCTCCTTCTGTGGCAAGGTAAGGTGGGGTCAGAGCTGTCTGATGGTTGGGGCAGAAGTTCATTCCAGCTGAGGCGTCCTTGCAAAACTTGCAGTTGGGCATAAATAAGGATTTGGTCCATTGTGTTCAAAAGTTGGTTTTCCTTACTTGTCTTCTCAAAATCTAAGAAAAGGTTTTTGTTGTTTGTGCTGAAAATTACTTCTTTTGTAGACAAAGATGAAGAGGCGAGCAGTGGGCATCTGGCACTGTGGTTCCTGCATGAAGACAGTGGCTGGTGGTGCCTGGACCTACAAGTGAGTCTTACTTTGTGGTGCTTAGAGCTATTTGTGGACCAGACATGGACTGTTTTTCTGCCTATAATATATTAGATGAGGAAGGTAAAGATGCTGGTGTTTTCTCAAATTTCTTCAGTGTTACTGTTTACTTTCTATTCAGAATAGAAATAGCTACTGAAGCAAAAGTTGGAAGAATCCTCTACACCTCCATCTTGGGGGTTTAGGGGTGTAGCATGCAAAGCAAGCTACTGAGCTATATATTCCTAGACTGAGAATCAAAATTGAAGAATTGAAGTTTAAGCTGATTTAACAATGTAAATTTTGGAGATATGTAAGATACACATAAAAGCACCTTAAGGTAAAATCAGAACAAGAGTGTTCTATTCTAACAGTGAAGTGAACGAGCATTTGTATACGTCCATATGAGGTGGTTTACTTGATAAATTTTTTTTAAGGTGTCCCTTGAATAGTGAAGCTTTTTCTTAGGGTTCTGGGGATTGTACCCGGGGTCTTGCATGTGCTAAGCAATCATTCTGCCATTGAGCTGCATCTTTTGACATTTAAATCTGTCTGGCACCTTAGTAACTCACTGTACGATCTTGGTAATTTAGTTTCTTCTGATCTGTCCATGCCCTTAAGAGTAGGTCAGGTCAGACTGTTAGCAGAAGTAAGGTTCTGAGTACAGTGCATCCTGATCAGTGTTACCCCTTCCATTGATTAACTGCGATATAGTATTGATAGACTGGAAATTCAGACTTAGAATTGTAATGTTACAATGTAGATCTTCTTGTTACTTTAATTATGTTTGAAACTGCCTTTTTCTTAACAGCACCACTTCTGCCGTCACAGTCAAGTCTGCCATTAGAAGACTGAAGGAATTAAAAGACCAGTAAAAGCTCTACCATCTGAGATGTCCCTACCCTACAATAAATGGGTTAATTTATATAAGTGTTATATTTTTTGTAGTTAATTATTAACTATTAACTATACTAATTTGTGTGAATTATTGGATTTTTCTGATGGGCACAACCTGGCACTGGTAAGATTTGGAAGTTGAAGTCTTCCTGGTTTGATTGGAAAAGTTTTTGGTGGTGGGTCAGTTATCTTGATCCAGTCTCTTCTAATCTGCTGATAAAGTGTAAGAAAAGGTAAGCCTTATGGGTGGGTGTTATATGTCTTAGGAAGTATTCTAATGATTCCACTTTTCTGAGGCATGAGGCTTTTTTTTTTTGCCAGTCCTGGGGCTTGGGACTCAGGCCTGGACACTGTCCGTGAGCTTCTTTTGCTCAAGGCTAACACTACCATTTGAGCCACATCACTACTTCCAGCTTTTTCTGTTTATGTGGTACTGAGGAATGGAACCCTGGGTTTCATGCATGCTTGGCAAGCCCTCTTCCACTAAGCCACATTCCCAGCCCCTGTGCTTTTAAGGAATTACATTTTGGTGGTACTGGTGTGCTCTACCAGCCTTCTAAGTAGCTAGGATTTTTTTTCAGGCAGTTTCATGGCTGTCTTCCATTTGCTATCTTATACTCAGGAGAGTAGATTATAGGTGTGAGTTATCAGTGCCTGGCTCTTTTAAGGAGTACTTCGCATCTTTTTTAAAAATTTATTTTGTAGTCTGGGGCTTGAATTCGAGCTCCCTATCAGTGAGACACTTTTTGTTCAAGGCTAGCACTATACCACTTGAGACAGCTCCACTTTCAGCTTTTTGCTGCACTTTTCTTGTCTGGGCTGGCTTTAAATGCTATTCTTAGATTTCAGCCTCCTGAGTAGCTAGGATTACAGGTGAGAACTTAGATGTGATCTAGCTAAGTGATTAATGGATGCCTTCCATTATGCATAAAGGACAGCAGTGTGTCTGCATTCCAGTGGCTAGGATTATAGGCATGAGGCACCAGCACCTGGTAATATTTGTCTTTTTTGAGCTTAAGTCAGTATGGTGTCCCAATTTTGTCCATTTTCCTGAAAATGACTATTTTTTTTCAGGACCTAAGGCTGAATTCTCGCTCTGGGTGCTATTCCTGAGCTTTTTTGTTGTTTTCTCAAGGCTACTGCCACAGCTCTACTTTGGGCTTTTTGGTGGTTAATTGGAGATAGGAGTCTCGTGGACTTTGCTGTTTGAGCTAGCTGGCTTTAATGCACCATCCTCAGATCTCATTCTTGAGAGTAGCTAGTGTTACAGGCAATGGCCATTGATGTCCAGGTGGCTTCAATTTTTTTGTAGCCAAGTAATTTTCTGTGGTGTATACATACCATATTATCTGTAGCACCTTGGCTGATTAAATTGAAATCTTGAGTCTATTTTAGTTTCATTGTACAATGGGACTAACATGCAGAAGTCTTTTTAGTGATAGTACTTATAATCTCAGTAACTAGGGATGTTGAGGCAGTAGGATAGCTAATTTGAGGCCAGCCTACGCTGTACTGTGAGATCATGTTTCAAAAAATGAAGGGAGTAGAGAGGAATAGGAGAATAAGGAGAGCTGGGTTCCAGTGGCTTACACTTGTGATCCTAGCTACTCAGGAGGCTGAAATCAGTTGTTCAAAGCAAGCTCTGGCAAGAAAGTCTTGAGACTTCAATAAATCAGAAAATCAAGTGGTGCAGTGGCTCAAAGTAGTAGAGTATTGGCTTTGAGACAAAGTTCAAGCTCCAAAACCAACCAAAAAGAAAAGAGAAGAGGGCAGGGGAAAGGAAGGACTTCTGTCTCTTAATATTCTCTGGATACTTTGTGAATATAAAGTTCCCATTCCCTAGGAGTGAACAAGAAGTAAATATTCTTGAGACTAAAGAAGAGTTCAAATAATCTTATTCAGTGATTGAGTTTAGTTCATCTAGAATCTTCAGTGTTCTAGTAGCCTGTAAAAAGCAAGTATTAGTCCTTTCTGAAAAAAGGAAAAAATTCAAATCAATAATTTATGCACCATTTCTTTCACCTAAATAGGTAAACATGCATGGGGGCAGTAAATGATGTTGCCTGACATGGAATTAAAAATAGCAGCTTAATATAAGAAGGAAATGAAAGACAATACTAAGAATTTCATTATAAAGGCAACAACTCTTACTTGGCTTAAAATCTTTAAAAATACTCTATAGGGCACAATGATATTTTGCTGCATATATTCTACATTATTGGGTTGGGATAATTTTACTTTCATAAACCTAGATTTTTGTGCTGGGAGTCAGCCTTTTTTTTAATTAAGTACATAATAAATGTAAATGAGTCATTGTACTGTGGTATAGAACCCTAGTTCTTATTCCTCCTACTTGAAAAATGTGGATGGATCTAACAACAGATTAGGTCTGGCTCAAGAGAATCAAGTAAAATAGAAAAAATGAAAACAGGAGACAAAAGCAATGGGAAAGAACAAGTATGAGAGGCAAACTACAGTGAAGAGTTCTGATACATGGGAAAATAATAATGGCTTATAAGTTCCCCAAACCAATGAAAGATACCAAGCTGCAGATTCACGAATCCCTGTAAACTACATAACCTAAGAAATTGCACCGAGGCCAGTCTCATTGGTTTAGATCAGTAATCCTGTAGTTACTCAGGAGACTGAAAACTTAGGGTCTTGGTTCAAAGCCAACCTGGGCAAGAAGTTTGTAAGATTCCAGTTAACAAGCCGGGCACTGGTGGCTCACACCTGTAATCCCAACTACCGGAAGTGGTGCTGTGGCTCAAAGTGGTAGAGCGCAGGGACAGTGCCCAAGCCCAGAGTTGAAGCCCCAGAACCAACAACAAAAAAAGATTCCAGTTAACCAAAAAGCCAGAAGTGGAGCTATGGCTCAAGTAGTGAAGTGCTAGCTTTGAGCAAAACAGCTAAAAGACCACCCAGACCCTGAGTTAAAGCCCAAAAAATTCACTGGAGAATGTCATACTATTAAATATTCAAGGAATAGCTCACAAAAGAAACAGTGCTGAGACTGTCTTGATTTTTTTTTTTTAAATGTCAGTCATGGGGCTTTAACTCTGGGCCTGTGTATTGTCTTTTTGCTCAAGGCTAATAATGCCTTGAACCACAGGGCCACTTCTGATTTTATGGTGGTTAATTAGAGATAAGAGTGTCAAGGACTTTGCTGCCCAGGCTGGCTTCAAATATCCATCCTCACATCTCAGCCTCCTGAGTAGCTAGGATTGTAGGCATCTGTTGATTTTGTTGTGGGGGCTTGAATTCTGGGCCTGGGCCCTGTCAGCTCTTCAGCTCAAGGCTAGTGCTGTACCACTTGAGCCACAGTGCCACTTCCATCTTTTTCTGCTTATATGGTGCTGAGGAATCAAACTCAGGGCCTTATGCTTGCATGGCAAGTACTCTACCACTGAGCCACCTAGGATAGAAGCTAGAATAGTAGGTTTGTATTTCCCAAGTACCTTCAATTCCATATCACATTGATCTATAGATCTGTGATCTATATGGTCATATTTAGGGATCATTTCTTTAAGAGAATGAAATAAGGACAGTTTCCAACAACAAAACATGAGAATGTGTAACTTGATATATCTTGCAAATATATGGCATAGTGGAACATGAAGGTAAGTGAAAGCAGAAGGGACCTTTGTAGCTAAGCACAAGTGAATATAGACACGTAATGGCAACCATGACTTTGGAGGCGTAATATTAAAATATATTAAAGCAACAACAGACTGGGAAGGGATGATTAGTGTCAAAATGCCCTCTTGTATTGGAAGATAAAACTACAAGTATATGTTGTAACCTTTGGTGATTGAAAGATTAGAAAACATGTAACTAAGCAAAAATAATTAAAAGCAGTCAGAGGAGGGAGGGAAAGAGGGCTGTTACAGTAAACCTGGTACAGCACTTGCTGAACATATATGCAAGGTCATAGTTTGATTACTAGACCACAAAAGAGGGAGGGAAAGAAATGGAACAAGTAGGACACAGGAATATAGTAGATTAAGCATGTATTTACATATATATCACTACTTCATACTTAATTACACACAACTAAGTCATACAAATACAAAAAGCTTAAAAAACTAAAATGGTACCATATGTAAGCACTCATCTGAAGTACTACATTAGTATCTGACAAAAGAGGGCTTTTTTAAGGCAAAAGTTAAAATTTTATATTGTTACACAAAAAAAATATGGACATTTTTGGAAACAAGCTGATTTCTAGGCCATAGATTTAAAAAAAAAAACACTGGATGGGGCTGGGAATGTGACTTAGTGGTGTGGTTTAGAGTGCTTTGCCTAACATGCATGAAGCCCTGGATTTGATTCCTCAATACCATATAAACAGAAAAAGCCAAAAATGGCTCTGGTTCTAGTTGAGTGCTAGCCTTGAGCAAAAAAGGTTCAAGGACAGTGTCTAGGCCCTGAGTTCAAGCCCCAGGACTGGCAAAAAACAAAACTGGTATTGATGTCTGAGAAGGTTCTTGAGGTACAAATTGAAGGACGTAGAGAAATACTTGGCGAAAACAACAGTGAAATCTGTAAGGCCCTTTGCCAGAGAACAAGACAATAGAACAGGTTGGGATTGTAATAAAACATGTCCCCCCCCCCAAAAAAAAAAATGAGTTAATTTTAAAATCATAGATGTATCGATGTGAAGCAAAAGCAAAATAGCAAGAAGCATTTCAACACTTGAGGTAGAGGAAATAGATGCAAATCACTGAAAATACACTGATGTAGAAACTAACCCCCTGCCATTCCACCTGTTTTCTGAATTGGTATACAACTTGATGGGCACTTACGAAGTTAATTATTGCATATAACATCACTATGTTCACAATTTGTTTTGTCTGTTGTGTTTGAAAAATTACCTTAATAACACATCATAGTGTAGTTGTTAGTTCCTTTAGTTTTGATATGTATAGTGAACTCTGGCTTTGGAATCTAAAGAATTTACATAAATTCTTTGGGAAACTAATCTATTAATTAGGACTTGTCTGCTCATTTCTTCTGTTCATTGACTGCAAACA